ATTCAGCAAACGCAAAAATCTAGCCATTGCAACGTTTATGACAAAGAAAGGTTCACCAGAGGAAGACAGGATAGCAGTAGCGGAGCTTAGCAGTGTATACCACAGAGTGCTTCGCGGCCACAGCTACTTATCTACAGATTGTAGTGATAAAGCGCAAAAATCAAGTCCACAAGACTCAAGTATTGCCACAAAAATGTTATGTGGAAGAACAAAAAGCGAAGCTTTAGTTCAAAACGTCGTAGCACCTTACAGCCAGGAGCGTTTAGCTACAGAACTGAAACATACCCCATATTTTTCTGTCTGCTCTGATGCGCCAAACTATATCCATACATAGTAAAATATTTCCACAAAAGACGAGGGTGTTAAAATGCTATTAGAATTTTGGAAAAAATTGTGGATATCTCAGAAACAAATGGCTTGTGTGTCCGCCAGATCAGTGCATATGGTGCTGACAGTGCATCTGTAAATTTTGGCAAGCATAATTCTGTTTATCAAAAACTGAATGAAGTCAGTCCACACATCGTAAATTGCAACTGCAAATGCCACTTGATCCACAACACCCTGAAAAACGCAAACAGAATTCTCAGCGCTGCAGGTTATGATGTTGAATCCATTGTCCTAAAAATCTACAGTGAATTCTCACGCTCAGCCAAAAAAGTAGAATCTCTGAAAGAGTTTTGCGAGTTTACTTCAGTACAGTAAAAAGAGATACTGAGGCATGTACCGACCCGTTGGTTATCTCTATTGCCTAGAATTCATTGGACCCTGGAGTGTTGACCTACCCTCAAGTGTTATTTTTTGTCACTGGGAAAGAAAGAATTGTCCTGACATTATCTGGAAGGTTGTATGCAGAAGTGGTGCTGATGCTGCCGACAGCAATGATGAGGATGATGTGACAGTGTCTGAAATGTTTCCAATTGCTCATGCACAATGTACCGCAAGAATTTGACGGCGCATTTCAGAAGTTGTGCTATCCTACTGGATGTTCACGGAGTAATTAGCTGATTACGCAGCCGAAAACAAAGCAAGCATTCCGAAAGTGCAAGAGACCAAACGAAATTTGCAACACTGGTTGACAGCTTCTTTGAAAAGGCTGTTCAATACCTGCAGTGATGTTTCCTGTCCGTTTCCTGACTCTGGAAATGTACAAGTCCTGAATGGAGGGCAGGTTGGCAGATGATCTTTTCTACAGTCCTGACTGTCCGTTGTAGTCTGCTCCTGTCCTTTTTGGTGGCAGATCCAAACCAGACAGTGATGGAGGTGCAGAGGACAGATTGGATGATGGCTGTGTAGAACTGGATCAGCAGCTCCTTAGGCAGGTTGAGCTTCCTCTGCTGGGCCTTCTTGATGATGGTGTCAGTGTTGGGCTCCCACTTCAGCTCCTGGGATATAGGGGAACCCAGAAACTTGAAGGATTCCACAGCAGACACAGGGCTGTTGAGTATGGTGATGGGGTGCAGAGTGGGGGGGCTCCTCCTGAAGTCCACAGTCATCTCCACAGTTTTGAGCGTGTTAAGCTCCAGGTTGTTCTGACCGCACCAGAGAGCCAGCTGATCAACCTCCCGTCTGTAGGCCGACTCGTCACCGTCCCGGATGAGGCCAATGACGTCGTGTCGTCAGCAAACTTCAGGAGTTTGACAGATGGGTCTCCTGAGGTGCAGTCGTTGGTGTAGAGGGAGAAGAGCAGTGTGGAGAGCACACACCCCTGGGATGGCACCAGTGCTGATAGTCCGGGTGCTGGATGTGATATTCCCCAGCTTCACCTGCTGACTCCTGTCAGTCAGGAAGTCTGTGATCCACTGACAGGTGGAGGCTGGCACAGTAAGCTGGGTGAGTTTGGGGCTGAGGATGTCCGGGATGATGGTGTTGAACGCCGAGCTGAAGTCCACGAACAGGATCCTAGCATATGTCCCTGGAGAGTCGAGGTGTTGCAGGATGTGATGCAGACCCAAGTTGACAGCATCATCCACTGACCTGTTAGCCCTGTAGGCAAACTGCAGGGGGTCCAGCAATGGGCCTGTAATGTCCTTCAGGTGGGCCAACACCAGTCGTTCAAAGGACTTCATGACTACAGATGTCAGGGCGACGGGCCTGTAGTCATTTAGTCCAGAGATGGAGGGTTTTTTTGGGACCGAGATGACTGTGGAGCGTTTGAAGCAGGAGGGAACTTCACACAGCTCCAGTGATCTGTTGAAGATCTGAGTGAAGACTGGGGCCAGCTGGTCCACACAGATTTTCAGGCATGATGGTGAAACACTGCCAGGAGCCTTCCTGATCTTCTGCCTCTGGAAGAGGTGGCTCACATCCTCTTCACAGATCTTGAGTGCAGGTGAGAGGTCAGAGGGGGAAGGTGACTGTTTGAAGATGGTGTTGGAGTGGGGGAGAGGTCCAGTAGGATGAAAGCCAACTCTGCCAAAACAAAATGGAGATCTCTCCATTACACAAGACTTTCTGGAGTTGACCAAAGTTTTTACCAAATGTTGATTTGATTGTCATTTGGCCTGACGGGCTTCAGCACATAAAACTTTATTGTTGTTTTTTATCCTTACATGGAGTTTGTGTTGTGCTGGGAAACGGTCATTTTTTGGTATTAGCGGATTCTATTTTGTTAGCTGCGGTGTTGCTGTTGTGTTTACAGTTTACAATCAATAGGCAAGAGGCTTGGGGGTGCGCATGCAGAAAACCCAACCCAATTCCTTCACATTGCAGAATTGTGGCTGTTCCAAGGGACAGAGAAAGCAGGTGTGTGGTTAATTTTTATGTCAGCTTACAGTCTGTTGACAAATAGGCAGAAAAAAAGTTAAACTACATTAAGAACTACATAGTCCCTTTAAAGGTTCTGTGTGTGAGTTTAGTAACATCTAGTGGTGAGGGTTGTGAATTACAACAAATTGCAAAAAAAAAAAATGTTATTGTGAATATTATTGTTACTTGTTCATTAAACAACAGCCACATCAAGAAATGAAGCGCTACATGATGTCTCATACTCCTGTAATACAGTATTTTACTGTACTGTCATCATGCGTAAAGGGTTGTCTTATCTGGACTAACATAGCAAAGTAAATGAAGAACATCTCAAAAACTATCACATCTAGTGTATAAAGTATGAGCACTGACAGATAACAGGAAAATGTAAACCTCACTGTTTCTGTACCACAGTCCATTATAAACCACATAATACATGAAGTTTACAAAGGCATTGGCTGGTGAGAATCAAGGCTCCTCTCGCTTTGCTTAATTAATTAGATAAGCAATCTGAAAATCTTACCAAAATGTTTTTTTTTATTTTTTTAAATACAACAGAAACACAAAGTAGTACTGACAGCCATAATTTAAGCTTGTGGTAAAATGGTGCCATGTTTTTATTGGGCATTTAGCATGTGAAAGTACAAATTACACGATTGTGTGTACAGTAGCGAACCAATATACATTTAGTGCAAATGCTGAATGTAGATTATTGGTCACTTGATAGGCACACGGTCATGTTATCGTATCACCATTAGCAGTAAAAAGAAATATATATTTTCCACCAGGGCAGTAAAATGTGATGTGTGCTGTTACTATTTTATTGGCAATAATATTCATCAGCTGATTGTCCCAGGAAGGTAAAGGCACATATCTGTCCATGTAGCAAAGCCATAACAGAGCTCTAGAATAACTACGTGAAATTACAATCCAACTAACCTTACATATTTTTTCTACCAGGGCAGTAAAAGTTTAGCTGTCTGAGCTGAGCTTCTATGCTGTAAGCTACCGTTTTACTGCCAATTAGTGATCAGCTGATTGTCTCATGAACATAAGGCAAAGCCAAAACAGAGTGCTGGAGAGAGAAAGTCACCATGAAACTAATCCAACTATTTATTTTACACCACAAGCCAAAGCACAGCCATGAAATTAATCTAATGACATGTTTTTTTCTACCAGGGCAGTAAAAGTTTAGCTGGCTAATGGCTTTCATGCTGTAAGCTAACTTTATCTTTTATTGCCAATTACTGATCAGCTGATTGTCTCTCTAAGTAACCAGCAAAGCCAAACCACAAGCAGGAGAATTAATCCAACTACATATTTTACACCATGGGAAACACCTCACTTCTCTCTGTGATTACATCTTAATACATCTATCAGAGCCTTCCATCTGGGAAAATCCACACAGATTATATCTGTGATTTCTGCTGTCAGCTGTCTGTATCTGTCCCAACTCGGTCTGGCTTCATCAGATGAGGATCCGCAGGCTGTCGGCTCTCGTGCTAATTAACGCAGTTGCTCGTCCTCCATTTGTCCAAATGTCACTTCTCTTCTTACTTCTAATAAACCAGAAGACTACTCAGAGACTGTTTATTTATTATTATGATTTCCGCTTCTTCATAAGCATTCAATGTTGTGAGGGGCCTCTAACATACATAACGGTTCATTATGAAAGGTCTTTATACACCACTGAAAACATAGTTATGGATGTTAGATTGCATTTCTGTCAATAAATCCTCAGAAATATTACACACTGAACCTTTAAGTCAGTTAGTTTGTATAGCTATTTAAACACAGATTTGTTTAGTAATATGCAGCATGCAAGCATAATATCAGGGCCTCAATAAAGGTTATTTTTGTATTAATTTGTTCAGTACTATTGTTTGACCAAATACCTGCAAAACTAATAACATTCCCATCAGCTAAGTAGCAAATGTTTGCAAGATAACAAGCTCAAATAAGATAGTGCACATGGTAAACATACTGCTAACCATCAGCATGTTGACACTGTCATAAGCATGTTTGCAATCAGACGTTTTAGCATTTAGCTCAAAGCACTGCTGAGTACACCCTCAGGGTTGCTAGTATAGCTGTAGACTCTTGTTTTACACAGACCTCATGTAACACCCTTTGATTAATAAATACTAACATAAAGAAAGACACATTTCTTCGAAGTAAATAATGATAAAACTAAAAAGCTTCTCAAATGATGACTGGTGTAACTGGTGTATGACTAGAATTTGGACGCAGACAGGTTTTGGTTTATTTCAGAACTTTTAATAATCACTCAGAGAGGCACAAATATAATTTACAGGGGTACCTACCCTCTATATGTGCACCCACAAGTGACTTCCTGTTCCAGCCTGCCAGCTGACTGGCAAACAGCTTCACCCTACAACAATATGCACAGGAAAATACACACTCACATACAATTCTGCTGGTCCTCTCACATAGCAGAGGCTTTTTTCCTTTCATGTAACATCACTTCTGAAAGAGAGATGTGATTGAGCAAGTTATTTCTTCAGCCGTGCCTCAGTGACACTTTGAGGTAGATAACATTCTCCAGTCACCTCAAACATAAGAGCTGTAAAACACACACTGCTGACAATCCTGTTTACCTCCAGTAACTTTTTTCTTTCTATTTAGCATCATCTGCTTAAAGATTCGTGGTATTTATGTATGCACAGATACAGCTATTCAGCTCAGTAACAAATACACTTCTTCATAATCATATTACTTTCACTGTTTTTAAACTTCTTAAAACTGGACAATTTACGTTTGTTTATACAGAATTAGGTTTCTACGCCCTAAGTGGCCATCCATTCAAATATTTATTTTATCTATTTTCCTGTGATAACAGGATAATTATCTCGTGATCTCGATAACAAATGTTGTTTTCCCGTGATAACGGGATAATTTTCTTGTGATCTCGAGATAACGAAACAGTAGTTTAACACAGTGGTTTAATGGTAATTTCAGTAAGAATATCAGTGTCACTGGTTATCTCATTTGGTAGAGCACAGGAATCTTGGATTTGTGGGTTTGATCCTCACTGAACATGAACTTTTTTTATTTTATTTTTTTCATAATCTCTTCAACAAATTTCTTATGGAGAGACTGTTTCACATGCTCACTTTGTGCATCGCGGTGATTGGTCCACATCCATCAACCCATGGACTTTTCATTTCACCATCATTCCCAGACAGAGGAAATTCCTGTGCTTCTCATTCAGGGAAATCCATTTAATGTTACACATTTCCTGACAGCTATTTTGGAACCTTTGAAATATTTCTTCATAACAACTTTGTTGAAGTGGATACTAAAAAACACAAAAGAAGAAAAAAAAGTTGTTGAAAGTGAGAGTTGAACCCACAATCCTTGGATTATGAGTCTTGCACACAACCAACTGAACTAACTTGGGAAGTAGTTTGAAATTATCCTATAGAAATGCACCGGCCGACCCCTGTATTCAGCTATGGTTTGTTATCTCGAGATCATGAGAAAATTTTTCCATTATCACGGGAAAACGGAGTAAAAGAAATATTTGAATAGATGGATTCCATTTCATAGGTTTCACTTTTGGTGGCTAAAACATAAAACTGAACAAGGAAACCGGAACAGTTTGAATTTGTCTCAAGTTTCTTAATACTTTCAGTCCAGGGTGCCACTGTATCCTGAGGGTTTTTAGTCCTGTGTGTTGTGCTTATTGTGTTTCTGGTGGGTTTGAACAAAACACAAAAACCTGACTGCTGCCATCTTCACAAACACAACGTCTCTGTTTCCTTCCTTAAAAATCACACTGAAAATTAACACTTAAAGTAACAGAAGATCAATTATAATGCAACAAACACTACAGAGACCATAACTATATAGTTACATAGGTATACATCAACAACTGAACAAAACACAAGAAAACACAAGAAAACATGAATATTGCATAACTGCACATTCCCCTGCAAAGAACTGCAGGAAAATACCACTTTCTGCTTTACATAATACTGGACAGCTAATTTGGAAAAGAAACTGCGGAGGTACTTTGCTTTTCTCCTCTGACAAAAAGTCTTTCTTTTTGCAGCAGTTAGCCCATGTTAGATGGGCTGGAAATTGAACAATTAGTTGTATTTGCTCAGTTGTTCAAATACAGAATTTGAAAAGAAATGGGCAGGTACGAGTACCACAATTATAAATAAAGGATTTCCAAAGATTAGAGCTTGTCATTGTAAAAAGCAGTAGCTATTATATGAACATGCTCTGACATCCATTTATAATACGTCCACAGCTGCTTTTGTAGTCATTTTGGCACTTTTTTTCTCCTACACATGCTCATAACAACTCATCTACTCAGTCTGGGACTCAAATCCTAAATATTTATGTTTGGTAAAATATTATAAAAACAACATTGAAGTATTACATAGTATGGAATTACTTGCTGTCTGCATCCTTTTCCATGACCTCGGGAGGTCATTTATCTCAGAATATAGTGGGGTATTGACCAGTAGAAAGTGTCACTGTAGGCGATAGTGCAAAATGAATTAAGTGCTGAAAAAAAGGTAGTGCAAAGTCAACAGCACTGTAACTACGTCGATATGGGAAAATTATACATATATATAATTCACACGCGTCACATTGTGCTTTTACATTTTAAAAAGTATACTTTGTTAAATGGCAAATTAAATATTTAATGTGTGAGCAGATTAGCCAGTCTACTATTTCATTAACCTACTACATGCTGTCAAACAGCCCGTGGATCAAAACAATTTAGTTGTTCCAAACTGAGAACTACTTCAGACACCATAAATATGTATACATATTTAATATGTCATCCTACAAAGCTTACAATTACAAAGCTTACTAAAACATTAACTATGGCTTTCCCTATTAAAACAATAAAGCTCTTTAAGTGTGGGACATGTTGACCAATGGTCAAGTATCAGTAAATGATATCTGAAATGCTTCCACCCACCTAACAGATGGTGAGATAAAATCTGGTGCACATTCAGTGTCCTCCCAGCCGGTCCTTCACCATAAATGACAAGGTGAACAACCACAGAACACTACAACTACAAATGCTGCTCGATGTCAGACCTTTTCAGCATTGATCACAGTTTTGCCCCTACTTTAGTTCAGACTGAAACCACTTTTTGTAAATGAAAACATTAGTACAGATCACCAAACTGTATTTGTATTGAAAATTCAGTATGTGTTGTTATGAGTAAGCTTCCTACACTGAGGGGCGAATTCTAACCCTAACCTGCAAAAGGATTACATGGTCACTAACCCTGAACAAATAAGACAAAAAGAAAATTCTAAAAGCACCTGCAAAGGGTGAAATTCACCCTAACTGTGCTGCCAGTCATATAGTATCTTGGTGCACCGGTGCTATGTGCACATATTTCAATAAAGTAATATTCCTACATTTGGCCCGAAATTTGCCCCTTTTATGCAAATTAGCCTCACTGAAAAAAAAGTCCAATACCTAATATCTACCACAAGGAAATGAAACGATGATTACACACTGTAACAGACCAGCACAGAGCAGAGTAGAGAAAACAGATGCAGGAGGGGGAGTGCAGTTAAAACATCCCAAACAACTCTGACAAAACACCCAATCTAGAGTGAGTCAGAAAAACTAGAGATATCCTGCAGATAAAAATAAATGAAAGAGCAGAGGGAGTTAATGGATAATCAGAATAGTTATAATTCTAATTAGAATACATTCTCTTTCAAATCAAACATTTTAAGAGTTTAAAGTTTTTATCTTACAGCTACATTTGTAAAAATATCTTACTCAAATGCTTAATCATGCCGTGTGATATGCTACAGGCATTCAGAACACCTTAAAGGGACAGTAAGTGATTGTAATCCAGTACACTTTTTGTTAAATTGAGCGAATATTTCCTTATGACTTGCTAGCTCTCAGTTTTATGTATGCTCTGAAAAAACATGTGGTTGTCCTACACAGCCCTGGCTCTGTAAATGGAAGACAAAAAACATGGTGTGGATGTTCCCCACAACATTATTCCAGCCAATCAGCAACAGTTAGTGCTCATGTACAGGAGTGATGGGGGGAGGGCACTGAGAGAGAGAGTTCTTTACATCGCACATTGGAACGTGCTGGACTCCAGGCACTGTGAAGAAGGAGAGATGGTTGAGAAACAGCCAAAGAGGAAAAGGTCTGAAGAGTATAAACAGAAGAATGTTATATGACCAGGCAAGGGCCTAGGTGTTTTAACAGTGTTGAAACCGTCATGATTTGAAATTGGGGAGCGTAGCTTCTGAGGGAGCACTAAAGGAGGGAGGATTTGTTTGGCAGTTGAGCTCGAATATCAACAGTCCTTCTGCAGAATCACTTACTTCCCCTTTAAGAACATATATTACTGGGATGCAAAACAAGGGAAAATTGCTCTCAGTTGCATAACTTTATGGGTGTATTTCAGCCGAATTGTCATTACCACAATATCTTTTGTGAATTGCACGTTTAGACAGGGCAGATAGCGTTTGCAAGAGACACACCTTTCATGGTGCTATCAGCAGCCATTCTTTCCTTTCTTTGTGAATTCGCCCCTGAGTTCAAAGCCATTCTGTAACTTGTCATCTCTGTGCATGTTTTTCTCAGGTCCAGCAAACGTCTCGGCATCTCCCAGAATTGAGACAACATGAAAGACTACGTGGCTCATATCAACAGCACACATTCAGTGTTTTAGGGCCATTGTAGATGAATGAATAATAATAATTATGGAGCCATGAGAGGAGGTAATATTCAGAAAAAAATGGTAAATTTGTGAGAAAAATACTTAAAATGGTGTTGTTATTCATTCATTAAAAATACAAGACAAAGACAATAGGAGAAGAAGTGGAGCTTTCAGACAGTTAGGTAGATACGAGGGACTGCAACAAAGCCACTTGATCAGTGACATCTTCTGCAGTTTGTTATGCTTGTGTCCTCCAGCTTTGGTCAGAAGGAAGTATCTCATAATACTGGTTGGTGAGTTTTTTTTCTTGTAAAATATCCATGATTTTTTATCATAAATTTAATTTATGAAATTCTCGGAATATTACCCCCCTCCCCCGGCAACGTAATCTTTCTTTTGTTATAACTACAATGGCCCTAATACTCCGTTCTACTTATCTTAGACACTGAGTGCCAGTAACTTGACAACATCTACACGTGAGGGAACGAAAATAAAAATGTAACAGAACACAACAAAACAATGTCTTCAGTGTTAAATGAACAAAATAAAGTGTCCCTATCTTCCATGTGCAGGGGTACTGTGGACCAGCATGGACACACATTGTGCTTGTACTCTGTCAGTCAACTGATTCAATGCTGTTTCCTTCATCCTGAGGTCCTTCAGACCATCTGTCACAAGCGGTCCTGCCTTTCAACAAACCCCGCCCTTCATAAAAAACAATTTAGGCTTCTTCAACGAAAATGCCGGCTGTTTCCATGGAAGCAGCTTATGTGTGCAGGGTGGGGTGTGAGACTTCTTTTTAAGAGTAGATGGTGATGACTTCACGGCCACCGCCTCGCACCAGCAGGACCCGGTTCAGACCCTCAAGGAGAACCTCCAGGAACTCCATGTCTGAGAAGAGAGCAGTCAAGGTATAAAACATACAGGGACACAAACAGAGACAGGACTGTACCGTATTAGTACAACTCTGGCAAAACTCTTCATCCATCCAAGTGAATGAACTGGAATGGTAATAAAACTTGCCTTATTACCTATTACTTATTGCATCTTTAGCTAATAATTCTCTGTAAGTTCATTACTACAAGCAACCCCTTCCACATTGTATTTAAATTGGCATTTGCTACATTAGCCGTGTTTACATTATAAAAGACTGATGGAAATGGCAAAAATCTGAAAAACTTTCTCAATTCATCAAAAAGTTTTTTATGCTTACTTGAAGTGGGTTTTGCCTTTTTTTAAAAAGAGCTATTCACAGATGCAAACAATTTTACCGCATAAGTTCTGATGTAGTGAACTTTTAACTCTAACCTTCCTTTTTTCTCTGAGATCCTTGCACAAGCAGTTGCCAATCAGTCCTGTGACATTCTACATAGCAATAGTTTATTTGACGATTTTCAGTCAGGATATAGAGTTCATCATAGCACAGACAACTCACTGGTGAATATTACAAATGACCTAATGACATCAGACAAAGGACTTGTCTCTGTACTTGTTTGCTTGTCTTGTTAATCTTAGTACTGCATTCGACAACAATGACCATCACATCCTATTACAGGGACTCTGACATTTAATTGGCATTAAAGTAGCCAAACCAAACTAGTTTAAGTCCTATTTATCAGATTGATCTCAGTTTGTACATGTTAACAATGAATCCTCCATGCACACCAAAGGTAGTCACAGAGTTCCACAAGGTTCTCTGTGCTTGGACCAATCCTATTCACCTTGCTTCCTTCATGCAATATTATAAGGAAACACTGCCTAAACCTTCATTGCTATGCAGATGATACTCAGTTATATCTATTGATCAAGCCAAATGAAACCAATCAGTTAGCCAAACCTGAAGCGTGCCTTGAGGATGTAAAAATCTGGATGTCCTGCAATTTTCTTATGTTAAACTCTGAGATGTAATGTCTAAAGATACAGCTAGGCCAGAGCCTTCAGCTATCAAGCTCCTCCCCTGTGGAACCAGGTGGAAAGAGTACTAAAATATTCTACTTAAGTTAAAATACTATTACTTTGATGAACTTTTACTTAAGTGCAAAGTAAAACGTAGCTAATTTAAAATTTACTCAGAGTTACCTTACTTTTTTAACTTCCTAAAATAATTCATTTATACTGATTTAATATCTTATTTATAATTATTACAGCCTAATTATATAGTTCGTTTGACAGATATTTTGCCAAAGAAATGGTACAAAACAACATTAGAGACCTTTCATGTTACTGCTCTATATGAAAAGTGCAATGAGATAAATTTGGCATTATATAAATGAGATTTAATTGAATTTATTAGCTCCAAACCAGTTGATGGAAACCTATGGAACACCTATGTCATATCATCATTTTTGTCCATTTCAAAAGTTTGCTGTTATTAACACTGATTGATTATTGCTGCTTTAAGGATACAGTTTTCATCTCCTCCTCTGTTCCTGGGTGGTCCAGGCATGTTGAGCAGAACCAGGTGAGCTCCCTGGGACTTGTTGACCACCACCTCGTTCAGCTTGATAGCGGTGTGCATCCGACGAACATTTGACTGGTTACTAGTTGAACAAGAAGGTGACAGTGAGAAAGGACAACAATGAAGACAACTTTAATAACCAGACTTAACTAAACGGAACCCAACATTTTATTAGTTATAATATGGGGGGGGAGCAGTCATGAAATATGGTGGTTGCTGGGTCTTTTGAGACCATCACAAAACTGTACTGTAGCCTTACTAACTTCATCAAACATAAAACTAGATTTGAACTGTGCAAGAAGGTTTCTCTCTGTATACTGGTGGTCTGTAGAGATCTTTTCAGGTAATCTAAGTATATTTTTATATAGTTTATGCTGGCATCAAACTACACACGCCTTTTTCACAGCATACAAAGGTGTCCCAAGGATTTCCTAGTTCCACACTACACACTGATTCTAAGAAGGTTTAGGGTATCTAGTATGTTCACACTATTCTTAATAAAAACATAAGTGCTTTGTCTATACAGAATACTTCAAGCATAAAGTACACAGACTAATTACAATCTATTTTCCAAAGTTGCAGTATAATTGATATCCAATATTACATGTACTGGAAAATTGTATAAAACTGTAAAGTGTGTATATATATAGTATACTAATATTTATAAGATGTTTTATACATAATACACATTGTATAGAATGTAGTATGGACTTGGGACACAGGTTTTGAGTTGTCATAGTAGGAAAGGCATAGGTGTTACTAAACAATGGCTCTGTCACCATGACAGTGTAACATTGAGCCAACATGAACAACACCAGAACACTGAAATATAATAGCTAAAATGAAATCATTAATTTTATTATTTACACCTGTGCTTTCCCTACTGTGACATGTCAAAATATTTTCTGTGAAAAAGTTGTGTTGGAATATGGCAGCACCTTGTTCACCTAGGTAAATAGGAGCTGCACACTGGAAAATCCTTTCAAAATGTCGAATGTTTTTAGCCAGTGCTTGCTTAGGCTCTTCTCTTTCAATCAATAAAATGTTTATTTACACTATAGTCAGAAAACTCACTGAGAGCAAGCTCCGCTTTTCTGGAGTCAATTATTTACATGGTTATACATTGGAAAAACTAATGTAACAGGATGTTATTCTGAAATCACAATACACTGTGTACCTCTGGGGAAAACACCTTCACCAATATCCATAACACATACTCAGATATTTTAATAACATTTTGTCAAGGAGAAAAGTTGCATTTTAGTTAAAGCCTTCTGTCTGTTCAAACACAAATGACAAAACAAGGCATTATTAAGAGAGTGAAGCATATTGAATTTCAAATAAAGAGGCAACATTTTAAGATGAAAGGGGACATGCAGTATCACACATGATGGGCCCTATTAACGATCTAAGCACACAGCGTGAAACGCGTGTCACAGTTGCGTTAAAGATGTGTCCAACTCCAATTTTGCTACTTTAACGGCGGAAAAAATGTTCAGTGCGCCAGGCACATGGTTCAAAATGACACTCAGATTGTCATCTTCCATTCCCTTTAAAAGCCTGGTGCACCTGTACCTTGGCGAATTGCTATTATAATGGCGGATTAATAGCGCATTATTAAAACCATCAATTGACTGATTGAATGGTAGACTCACAGCAGAGAGGGGATGTGGACAGAAGTGTGGGCGTGATATAAAAACTGTCTCTGATCATTGTTGTGGCAGAAAATTGTTCTGGAAGGGTGGAGAGGTACATGCGCGAGAGTAGTATTGGCATTGGATGTCCTCATCATGCCATACGATGCATCACAGCCTCACAGGCAGATGCTAAATGTCCACTCCTTGCCCACGCAAGCACCGCCATACCAACTCAAAGGTTCACACGGCTGGTCAGTGCTCACACACCTCGGACTGCACCATGGTACAGTCGGCCACTCCCACAGGAGCAGTACAGGTCAGGGATTGCATGGACTTGGTGATAGCATGTCAGCGCAAGGCTTGTATGCAGTGTGGCAGTCTGTGTGGTTGTCTACTGTGCATTCAGTGGTGCAATCCCAGGTGTGTCAGCAATATACAATTCCAAGACAACAAGTCATGAAGCCTAATGTTACTATGCAGCTCTGTGGTTTATCAGCAAAGTGTCTGACCTCCACAGACAGACAGACAGACGCTGTCTCCTCTATGAAACGTCTGGTTCTTCACTGTGCTGCATTATTATTATAACTATGATCTCTCTCTCTTCCAATGGTTTCTTCATTTTGTGTTTTCTTTAACAATTTACTTTCATGATTAGAGAGACTATTGTTAGTCATTAAACAATTCCATGGGTGCAATAAAGTCATAGCAAATATTGTGGGGCATTAAAGCAGTTGGCTAAAACAAGAAAATTGTAGTTATAAATGTGATATGACAGCACAAAGGAAACTCTCCAGAGGAAACAGAATTCAACTTTTAGCTTCTGAAAAAATGTAGATGCTCTGATGGAGCTCAGGATTGATAAGAAGGACGGCTGCTTTACTCCAAACAGTTTCACTCTATGAACCTGGACTGTACGTGAGACCTTTTGGATGTGTAGAAGAACACAGAACATAAATTAACATTAGATCCTGACGATCCTGTCAGGAGATTTTAATAATCAATGATGTTACGCTGCTGTGCCTCGTGTGTAAATGCGCACAATGTTTCTCTTACCATTGGAGTAATGCGCCTCTAAAATAACAAAAAATTGTAAAATACTGCGCCGCTGACTATAGACCTGTTTTTTTTTTGGATCAATGGTGTAATCTCTTTCTGCTGCCACAAGATAGCAATGCACCAACAATGTGCCTGACCACACCTCATTATAAGACCTTCACGCCTCTGGGCATTCAGATCGGCCCAAGTGCATTTGCTATTTAAACAACGTGGGTGCTTGGTGTGAAAATCACCACTGCGTCTGGTTGGAAACTAGTAATGACACTTGCGCTGCGCTTTATGCCATTTTCCGCCACTTGGCGCCGGGTTGAAGATAGGGCCCAATCTGATTTTATTATGTTTGTCATAGCCAATTTATGTTTTTTTAGAGTTTTGAAAATAGCATCTTCCATCTCTTATCTCTTGTTGCCTCTTTATCATCACCTTCACAATGTTAGATCACAAAGCAATAAAGCACACAAAGTCAACTGCCTGCAGCCCAATTACATTAAGGAGAAAAACAAGACAATTTCACAAATTTCTGCTTTCCATTCTACTGAATAGGACTATATATCTAAATATCAAGACCAAATTAACATTTTTTGTATTCGCTAATCCTTTTGGATAAGGTAAATGGAAAGCAAACTTGCTCATGCATACGCACAATGTCATAAATATTACATGCAAATTAAATCGATAGAGGACTTTCCACCAACATACAGGGACGCAGACATACATATACAGAGGTACGAGCACATGAGCTGGAGGACACTGAACAAAGCTACAGTCACCACAGTAGCACTACACACATATGGCCTAGGGCAAAGAGAATGCAACTTACAGACTCTCCCACTCTCTAGAAGGAGGAAAATGGGACAGAACAACAAAAACAGGCTTAGATGCTTCCTACTTCAGCTCTCCAGCCCTCTCCACCACACTGCATGCCGTGTCCCAAATGACTTGTCGTGACACCCAAAGGTGACACATGTAAACCCATAGAAATTGATGTGTATAGTGAGGCTTTGTGCAAAAGTAGCCTCCAATTCTCCCTGTCCTGTGAGACTTTACAATATGTTTACAATGACTAATTTGAATCGCAAACTTTATTAGCCAATATAAAGTGTGGACAGGGACACACCAGATGAAGTCCACACACTGATAGTATGGACACATAAGGTGTTAGACTCAACAGCAAACAGATGTCTGCGTGGTCGGGCCATGCACTATGACTAAAATGGCTGGAAGTGCACACACACACCAAATGCAGCCTGAAGGCACACGCCATGCAGACAGTTGTCCCATTTCACCCTGTCAGGCTCATTACTACTACATCTACACATGCTGTCGTCCTGCACTGAGGATTTGGCACTACCCTGAAATATTGTCAGTACTGTAGGTGCTGTTGTTTACTCTTTAGATCCTTCTAATACTTCTAATACATATTATGACATTTAAAACTTGTGAAAAGCAATTCAAAACTGTGCAAGTCTCACAATGCACATGCAATGATATCATGTTTTGTTCTACCACCTTTACTGTATTTTCAATAGCATGTACAGTTGCTTGACAGCCCTCTAGTTTCAGAATGGACCTTAAAACGTTTTAGCTCTTAAGCTACAAATGTACTGAGGTTCTTTTTAGGGTGGTTTGAAAAGACAAATACTTACGGTTTCATGTTAAACAGGTCGCGTACAGCCACATTGGCATTGCACTCGCGGTTGCGATTACGCTCTGTGAAGAGCTTGTCCTTGGTCCAAGTCATGTGAACCCGCTCAGGCCCAGTGTCGGCCTTGTCATTAATCGTGGCGTGAGATGCTGTGTTTCTGTCATGGATGAGCTGAGCCTGGAAAGGAGGGCAAAAGAAAGATGAGGAAATCAAGTATAACAAGGACATACTTCAGGGGAAAGATGAGATGAAACACAATAGAAAGAAAGGTGGTAACAAAAGAATAGCCAGGATGCTAAGGAATGAACAAACAATGAGAGGATAAGATTTCAGAGTCCAAAATAATGCCAAAACGACAAAAGAAGGAAAGTGAATAATGGAGGGAAATACGGAGAAAAATTGGGAAAGATGAAAGGAAAGTAAGGACTCAAAAATAGAGGTGAATAAATGGTGCAAAATGTGACAGATTGGGCAGTGAAAAAGCAAGCATGATAGACAATTACAAAGGTGGGACCAAGGAAGAAAGGAAATCAACATTCCTTCTACAAGTTGATGAAAGTTGGACGAAACCATACTAGCACGAGTTAAAACACAACATTTATAGGTGACCAGGTATAGTATGATGTCATCCATGTGTTCAAATTGGATACTGGGCTTCCAAACATTATTACACATGCTCAAAATATGTTATGCAGGTATATAAGCCTATAATGCAAGGGTAGTGCAGGAATGATCCAACACAGCAGAGGGTATTTCATTACATTTGACAACAACTTTGTTTACTTCTGTGTCTGTGCTACAGAGTACAATGTCAACAGTTACATAACAGCAGCCATTGGCAAAGGATATCAATAATTATGGATTTATTAGCATCTGTCATCATCAAGATATGGATAAGGGACTCTGTGTTCATTGGCACAGATAAATGATAAAACAGGCTATGTAACATATTTAGGGCTTCCTGAAAATGTTTAATGTCTTCATTGTCCTTACATGTAAATGGGAGGATATGTGGTCAATAGCATGCACATTCTTCTTTCTTAAAAAAGTTTCTAGAAGATATTCCTTCATATGTTATGCTTGTTGACTACTAGCTGTGACTGTTTGTACAGAATGGACACTGGTTACAGGTATAAATGGCAGGAGGGTGGGAGATATCAATATGGAGACGACTGGGGTGGTGGCTCTGGGTAAGCAAAAATCCAGCTGTACTTGATGCACTGACTCTGTTAGCATGCCAACAATAGCATTCATCTCAAAGAACAACTCAAAAAACAACAAGTAAAGCAGAAAGAAAGATGGAAACTTTTGAAGTTGTTAAGATCTCAGGACATCAAGACAGTTCTGAAGACTTTTTTACTGTTCAAAAGTCATACATGATTATCAGGTTTCTGAGACAACACTGTCCACAGTTTCCGGATCAGGTGGGATCATGGAGGTGATGGGAAGTCGGGCAGCAGTCTGGGTGCAACTGGCTGGTATTCACAAAGCAACTCTCAATGACTATACAGTATGTAGCACAACTGCTGGGCCAGTCTGGACTTGTGGTTTAATTGTCAAATGTACAAGATGGATACTATCTGTAATCACAAACCAGCTTCTCAGTCTGCCAGTGACCCTACCAAAAGGGCTAATGGCACTTTGTTTTTTTTGTTTTTTCCGATGCTACAATAACTTGCTTGTAGTCCTGGGCTGACTACAACTTTACACTGGTGTATTCTATGTGGAGCAACAGGTTTTGTCCATCTGGAGCTGCTCTGAAGACATTGTACGAACATGCTAAATCTGCCATGAGCTGATGCTATGGGTAAGCATGTACTGAGAATGTTAAAAAGCACAATGTCTTATCCAGACTACAAAACATTTTCCAGTTTCCAGTTTCCAGTTCCACAATGACTCTAGGCATGGGAATTAATGGGACACTAAAGACATGTTTTGGACATTTGTTTTAAAAGAAGCATGGTATGGAGTATCTATAGTAACTCCAACTCTTTTGCGGTGAAAGTTAATTATAAAAAAAAATGAGTGCCACCACTCATAACAGAAAGTCTCTATCAAGCAAGAAAATTTTCTGATTTAAAGTAATACTTGAAGGGCCCTGGTGAGAACCTCTACAAAGTTTTTCAATTAACAAAACACAACTTGATCTTTTCCTAAATAATCATCTTGATTAGCATCCCAACTCTCTGGGTATGGTTGCATTTCTCGTTTTGAAGGTCTTTATGTAATTCAATGACTGTGCCCACATTTAGACTGAAAATGCACTTCCTATGACACAACTCATTTTAAACCACAGCAGTATTAATACTGCTCCATCCTTTCTGTGGATTTCTCCTATCTGTGGATTGATTAAACTGTACACACATCACAACCTGATGTCCATACTGGAGATAAATGGGATTAAAATGTTTGACTGACCACTTGCACATCTGTTTCTGACATCTCATATATATATATATATGGGACTAAAATCTGATTTTCTGAGTTCAGGTTGGAAACCACAATGACGATAAAAGTCATTAAAGCAGTCAAATGACAAGTGACAACTGTAGCCAAGATCCAGCTTTGTGAAGACGGGCCTGTCAGTCTAACAGTGAGGGACAGTGGGATGATAAAATCGGCTACCTCGTCCTCCTGAGTGTCCTCCATCGGTGAGGACTGTTGGCTGAGGTTCACGCTCGGGGCAGCACCCTGGTTCTTCCTCCGGATTGAGCTACGTGATTCGTCAGTGATACTCTGAATCTGAGCGGTGTGGTGTGAACCGGAGAGGCGAATGCAGATGAATAAGGAAAGGTGCCAATTGTCATATGACACAGTAGTAGGGAGGATATGACTAAAATGCTGTTCAGACTTAACTATGGAAGTCTATCATTTGTATAAATAACCTGAACACCTTGTTTTAGATACTGTATAATCTAGAGCTGCAACGATTAGCCAATTGATCAAGTAGTTCTCAACTATTAAATCGCCAACAATTTTGTTAATTGATTCATTGTTTTGATTAAAAACAAATTTTTTTAATTCCCAAATTCTCTGAACCTTTTCTGGTTTCTTTGCTCCTTTATGACCATATCTTTTTTGGACCAAACAGCTAATCCACTGATCAAGAATCAAGATCAAGAATGATCAACAGATTAATTGACAATGAAAATAATCGTTAGTTGCAGCCCCTGTATAATCTGACCTGCATCATATTAAAGCTACCTAGATGGGTTGTGATAATAACACTACACAACATTCAGTGACAAAAAATGTCATCTTCGTCAAGATGTTTATTCACTGATCTTATTAATATCCGATCTAAGACAAAAATACTGCATGATTTTGTATTGAGTAAAAAAAACAGAGTTCAGGGCTGTGTTGAGGTAGGTGAAGTGTAGATTACCTCTCTCTCCCTCTCAGTCCTGGAAAGTTGCATCTGTTTCAGCATCTGAGACCTCTGCTCCATCACCAGTGTCTTCTCATAGGTGAAGGCTGAGATATCATTATCATGCTGCACAGGAGAGGACAAAAACACAGTTATCAATGTATTTTGGAGCAACAGGAAACGTTCTAATGCTAAACCTCTTGCCAACACTGAACAGTTCTCCAACTTGTAATGCCACAGTCTCCACAGCAGTTTGTTCATTTTGTTTGTCTTTCCGGTTTGTCTTACTGTATGGAAACCAAACTAAAGATTAGTCCTAGATTTTAAATAAATATCAAAATCTATTAACTGATCCTTGGTTGGGGTTGAGGGGTGTCTTACTTCCAGACTTGATCTAAATCATAATTATCTTTCCTACAAAGACAACAATCTAAATAATAACAACTGTACATAAACATTAGCCATTTATAAAACATTCATGAATGAAACTTCCTTCCTTACGTTCTTTAAGAGTATGAAATGTCCCCATTAAGAGTAAAAAATAAGTGGCTTTAACTGGTTCTGGCACTGTTCTGTGCTATGTGAAAAACTCATGACACTGAAACTGAAAAATGTCATACTTTATGTTACAGTTCTGTGGCATTAAGTAGCATTAACGTATCGGCCAACTGAACGTACCTGGCAGAGAAAGACCGTTTTTCTTGTTTTTACCTTGGGTTCTTGATAAACAACAGCCTCAACATATAAAACCACTGTATTGGATGACTATGAGCCTGATTCCAGTGTAGTAATGCATCACTACCATTGCGGGATGTAATACAGGAATATTTTATCAAACAAAGTCTCACCATCTCCACCACTTCCACTTCTGCATCCAGTCGCAGGTGGTAAAGGAACATCTGGAGATCTTTCTTCATTTGGATGCTGTTGTCATCCATCTGGGCCACAGTGAAAATACGCATCTTACACTTCCTCCACACCTGGGGAAAAAACAGTTATTATGGAATGAGGTTGAATGAAAGAACAAGTCAGACCGTCACTTTTATCCAAAATGACTTACACTTGCAAAGAGGTCGCACGCCTCTGGAGCAACTAGCGGGTCGTGGGTCTTGCTCATGGACACATTTGTGGATGTGTCTTATCCACTGCTCCATCGCCACCCACAACACAACCCAAGATACACACACACACCAACCTTGTGCTGTCGCAGCAGGAAGGGCAGCAGCATCAGCATGCCTCCATCGTGAACCACCCACCACACATCAATGGTGCCTTCCCCCAGGCGGTCCTGGTTGGTAGGGAAACTGTCCACATTCTTAGCCACAAGCAAGGCCTGATGGGCAGCTGTGGTCTCCCGCACAGTCTCTGAGTGGATAGAGGGAGAGAGAGTGTCTATGAGAGACATAGCCTGTTAATAAGTATGTGTGTTATCTATGAGACATTTAATCATTGCCATCTCAGTGGAAAGATTGCATTTAAGCAGATATGTAATGTTAAGATGTATTATCATTAATTCCTATGCATTTTGAAAAATCTATTTTCTTGTAATTTTATTTAATTGTCCACAATGTTTATCTAATTTTGCATATCTATACCTAATGTATGTATTCCAATTTATTTTGAACAGTCTCCCGCTCTGTACCTATGAAATTCCTCCATGACTGCGGGTCATTGGACTGCCTCCAGGTCCCGGGCCAGGCCATTAGGACTGTGTTGTGCTTCATGCCTCCTAGCCCTGCAGACTGGATGAGGTGGGAGAAGCCGTCCCTGAGGTTTGAAGACACCACAACATGGCAGAAACCCTTTGTTCGCTCTGCTGACATGGAAGACTTGATGTTCTGGACAGGAAAACCGCAAACACAAATTAGTGAAGAAAACACAAAGCTCTGAATTTGTGACAGGCTACCTGTAAAGCCAAAATTTGTTTCCCAAACATAGACCTTAGTTGGGAATATTAATGTCATAAATCTGATAGTGGATAAAAAACTGTCACTGAAAAAAAGTATCAAGATTGTCATTGAAAAACACATGAAATGCAAATAAAATTCAAGGGCTTTTTTATCTTTATGTTCCTGTTTTGTTTTCAATGCAAAATTTTATGTTTGATAAAAAAACTTTATGTTACTGTTCTAGCTCCATCCATCAGTGTATGAATGTATGTGTGAATTTGAGATTATGACATGTAGCGTAAAGAGCTTTGACTAGGAAGACTAGAAAGGTGCTAAATGAGTGCAATCCATTTACCATTTGCCATCTGTGACTGAGCTTAACCTCAAAATTAATATTCGGCACTCTCATTAGTGTCCAGCCAGGACAATTAATAAAGATGGAACGAAACAATACAGCAGTCTGTGTAATCTGGAATTCAAGCTTCTGCAAATGATTACTTTCGCAGAAAAAGTAATCCACTAATTTGAAATGATTTTAAGGACACAGTCAAAACAGGTAGCAAAAAAAACTTTTACATTAAAAAAATAATGAAAGTACTTGCTCAATTTGGCCAGTAGATGGCAGAGTTCATCTGCAGTTTGGGTGGAACATACATGTTCTAACTGTAAATCCCGACAGACACAACAGTTTCACCTGTGGGTCCAGCAGTGAATTTTAAACACTGCCAGAAAAGATTTTGCCTATAATGCTTAGCACTGGTTGTACAGATAAATTAAGCAGTATAAAGCACATTTGAAATCCCACTTTTGGTACAGGGTTGTGAGCGCAGAGTTGCGGGAAACATCATCATAAATGACATGCACGTAATGCATGTGTTCTAGTGGCTTGCCTGCCAGGCTGTGCATTTCCACTGTACCTGCTCAGCCCTCTTGGCTTCTGCCTCTTTAGTGAGATAGGTTCCCTCTAAGACATTTCCCACTATTGTTAGGCCTTTCCCTGCCTTCAGCTGGGTGGTGAGGGACAGCAGACGAGGGTGTCTGACTCCTTGATCTGAATCCAGGTTCAGGAGCACCAACAACTGAGGCCTGGATACATCAGGAGAAAAAGGAGAGGGAGGACAAAGTCAAATTGCTTGAAGGACAAGAGAGATCCTTGCATCTCAGATGGTTCAAAAACAGTAAATAAAGTAAAATAAAGAGTAATTACATCAAAACAAATCAAAACATTATTTCCAGGAGCTATAATAGTTTAATACAACTACCTTGTAAAATAACACCCTGTGTAAAACACATTATTTCTTTAGGATGTGTAGCAACATTATTACAGTATTATTGGTTCTCACTCATCCGTGCAGGGAGACCTTTATTGGTGATAAATAGGGGCCTTACAGTCTTGTAGTACATGTGTTTAACATAAAACTAACAGAAGAGGGGCAAAAAACAGTAACTTTTAATGAGAACCATAGGTATAATTGGAAACATCACATCCCTAAAAAGACTATCCACACTGAACATGCCAAGAAAGTAAATTAAACTTTTTTGGACAGGCAGTCTGCAAGGTCAGCCAGTGCTAGCCCCTGTACAGTATGAAGGCTTGTCAACCTTTTCTGTTAGATTAGGCAGAGGACCAAGAGATTAATCAAATACACCATCTCTGTGTCTATTTTTATTTCTCTTTTGTCCACCCCAACAGTGGCACTGTGTCAGCTGTTAGCACGTCCATTTGAAGCACACACACACACACACACACACACACACACACACACACACACTGTATGTACTGTACCTCCAGTTCTTCGTGTGTGGTGGAGCCTCCTCCAGGCGAATGAGGGCGTACCGTGCTGCATTGAGAGAAAGGCCACGGATGCCGTCTCCCCACTCCTTCTCTGCCCTAAAGCCAACAAAGGATGGAGAGTGTATTAACAAGAATAAGCAAAAACATGAGAACACACACAGGATGACAAAAAACAATGCCAGTGCATGGATGTTTTCTGATTTAGTCCAGTACCTTTCTGGTAAGCTCAGCATGCCTGAAAGTCACATCTGAATTTTGTATAATTCAAGACATCTTCTCTTAAAGGGGCAATATGTGGTTTTCAGCGGCCACTAGTGGTGTAGTGTTAATATTGCAACCAAGTGTGTGCTTGTACTGCTTGAACCATAGACTTGAACTCATAAGTGAGCATAATCCGAAACACAGCTGCTTTAATAAAGAGATCCCACAATAAACACGGAAACACCGGCTGTAGCTTTTCTCCAGACATGTTCAGACTCTGTTACTTCAATGTTCCTGGCTCAGAGGCAGATCAACACCGGCTCCGTACCTTTCAGACAGCGCAGCGAACCACATATTGGCTAAATATGGCTCCCAGAAAAAAAGGCAGTGGCTATAGACAGACAGGGAGACAGATTCACACAACATGCTGGAAACTCAGGTGAACTCCCACTGCACTGTTACAGTAATATTTTTATCAACTGCAGGTTGAACTAATCCATGCTCATTACATGATTACGCTACATTCACTGCATTTGGCGTTAGCTCGCTGACTGCTTTTTAGTAACTGACATTACCGTTGTGTATCTTTCACCGGAGGCTCAGCAATGTGAGCACAGCTGAATGTATAAGTGAGCTAGACTGAATATTATAATGATATTGTTGCCACACTTTATAACAGTTTGACCGTGACTTAGTAAGTAATGTTTCTGTAGTGAATAGGTCTTCCTCTGTGTTGTTGTCCTGCACCGTGATGTTGTCTCTCTGACTCCAGCCTTTCTGGTGTTCACTGTTTTCACCCAACATCATCTGATTCTCGTTTGGTCTGATGGGCATCAGCACATAAACCTTTATTGTTGTTTTTTATCCTTATGTGGAGTTTATATTGGAGTTTGTGTTGTGCTGGGGCCGGTTGTTTTATGGTGTAAGTGGACTGCATGCTGTTAGCTGCATGTTGTTAACTGCGGTGTGGTTGCTGCCCAAGGTTTGAGTCCCTTGAAAAAAAAGTCAGTAAACATTTGATTTAAATTTGATTGAAAAACTACATATAGCCCCTTCAAGTGATATGAAAAGCCACATTTCAATATTTTAATATTAAGGATAATGCTGTCCTCACTAAAAACTGAAAAGTGTAGAAACAGCTCCTTCTTAAACTGAAGTGGATGATTCTAGAATGCACGCTTGCCAATCCAACAAAGAAGGGGTTTCCTTTGAATCTCTCCACAGTAGCCCAGATCTTAAACTTGTGCACATTCTGCATTTAAAGCTTTTTTTTCTTGAATCTCAAAAGTTTACATTTTTAGGTATAGCAAAAAAGGTCAAGATTATATAAGTATCTTCAAAAAAATTTATTCAGTACATAATTTATCAGTTTTGTACATTTACATTTATTCCCTTGGATTCTGGTTCTTTTCTGTCAGCAGTTTTCCAGCCTACCTTCTGTCATATTTAAACTTTTCCTTGTCAAGGATTTATCGTATACCTATGACATGAAAATACAAAGTCATTCTTACCCTCTGTATTCGATGTATTTGTAGATGCAGCCAGCGATGGCTATGGCCACAATAGCATAGTACCAGGAGGAGATGAACATAAGAGCAAGACACAAGCTCATTCCCAGGAAGGACAGAGCCCTGTAGGAGAAAATACACCCAACCCCAGTCCAGTAACTACATACAGATCTATTTACAAAACTGTTTCAAGTTTTCTGCACATTTATGGAAATGTCGTACACCTTGATTCCACCGGGCATGGCCCCATGACGTGGCATCTGCAGCACGGTTTTGTTCCATCCTCTGCACGGCTTCATACCCACTGTTAGCATTTTAAAAGAAGAGCATTTTGCCTGTCCAATTTTGTTGATTTTATCATTTGTCCCAGATTATTGTGCTTCTACTATGGGTAAGTAGGCTGCATAGTTTTGTCTGTTTTAATTATCTATGCCGCTTCAGTGTCTGACCTCCTGCCCGGTTTGATCTGCTCTGTGCAGCTTGACATGGCTTCCGTCAAACAAGACTAGCTGTGTATTTTGTATGGAGCGAGTGGAGAGAAGCTTCTGGGACGCTTCGGAAATGCATCCGTGCACCTGATAGAAACCCAAACATGGCCTAGAATGGGCGCGATCATCTAAGGCAGATGCCATGCCATAGCAGGAATGCAATGCATGAATCAAGCAGTTAATGAAATGAAAACAGTTCAGAATGGAAACCTGAGAGGCTTAGAACTGAAGTAAAAATTATGAAATCCTCTGCTAACAATAGTGCTGTCCTGTATTGTCCTCAGCCTTTGTCGTGGAAGTAATCTCAGTAAAGGCCATCATCCCACAAACCACACTAAAAAGGTGCGTATGTGGTAATGTGTGAAGGCGTTTGTGTGTATGTGATTGTTGGCGTGTGTCCTAAAATCTCAATAAGAAAGCCTCACTCATCTCAAGAGTAGGTCCCTGACAAATAGAATACAAGCCTTACATAGCCTTACAAATTGTTAAAACTCAAGTGTTATGAGACAAATGAACCTCAGAGACTTTTAATATCCTCTTCCTGCACTGTGAGAAAGTAAATATAGAGAATAAACTGCTGAAAGACAATATATTAAATAATTAATCACCCACCAGTGGTAGTATTTGAAGCGTGGTCTCCAGTTAGGGGTCCGCAGCAGGGTCTGAACCGCACAGGCCAGGTTGACAAACAAGTAGCACATGAGGAAAAACCTGTGGAAGGAAGACAATAAATCAAAAAAAGTACTTTCATTATCTAAATCTCCACTTTATTTTAACTTTAACTTACTTTACTGTAAGTTTATTTAAGAAGTCAAATACTTGTGGGATTATAGACTTTATCTGGTGATATGATTCTATGGAAAGAAATTATGCGGCATGACTATACAACTATACAAACAGACACTGACATGGAGAGAATAGGAGCCACAGCATCCAGGGAGGCGATAAGGATGCCAATCTCACAGATCCCAGCAGTCAGCAGCAGAGCCCAGGTAGGTTCTCCATTAGCTTTCCCATGGCCAAACACCTAACACACACACACAGTCAAGTGTGAATATGAAGGTCAGCACATGAGGATAAAGACTAAATTAACTTTGACTGAATTTGTGTTGACTGTGTGTGTCTAACCTGTAAGAAAGGTACAATGCCATCTCGTGCGATGGCCTGCAGCAGGCGTGGGGCACCAGTCAAACTCTGCAGCCCTGCCCCACAGCAGGAAAAGAATGAGCCAATCACAATAACCCACGGTGACGGCCACGATAGTGTGCCTATAACAAGGTTCCCTTTCACAGAGTCTCCAAATCTGCAAAGCAAAAACAATCATATGCATTAGTTGGACCACATTTATTCAGCCATACAACATGTGAAACAATTTCAAATATTTAATTTCAATTAGGGCTGGGCAAAAAAACAATAATGTTAATTAGTGGATATACTTCCTCAATAATAATATACGAAATGTTCAATAAATGTTGGATTTAATTCATTTGAAACATGAACAAATTAGCACTTACGTTTTCTATAAAGATATTCATTTTGCTGAGGAAAAGCGACTGAAAAAAGATTTTATCATAACTGTTTTGAATGATCTGCCTCAGATTTGTTAAGTGATCCACTTTTTGGCATCAAGTGTTTGTTCTGACCATAAAGAAAAGATTAAAACTACAATTAACCATCTGGTTTCTTCAACTTTCACTCGGGTGCAAAAATCAGTCTTTAAAGTTGAAAGTAATAATGACATTTATTGATATTGAATGACATGACATTTTTTATACTGATAACATTTTTGGCCATATTGCCAAGCCCTAATTTCAATTAACTTAAAGGATAATCCTGGTAATATTCTAGCTTTTCTTATTGTTGACACATCCTATGAAAAAACCAACAATGATATATCTTAATCCTCTGTGCCACAGAGCTCCATTGTTGTCCAAAAACTATTAAAAACACACTAGGTGATATGTTCCTTTATTACCTTGAACACTGAAGTTAAGTACACTGTCAGAGTCAACCAGTATGCACTACTTCCTTTTGTTTGACTACAGTGCCCAGATTTAGGAAATTATTAACTATATATTTGTTTTAAAGCAGGCTTGAGGCTGAGAACCACGGAGAGGCCGGGGTAAAGTAAAGTAGTGACAGAGGAACTAAAGCACTGTTGGTTTTGGTCTTTTCATGGGATGTGTTGGCAATAAAAAATAAAGAATATTTGCAAAGTGATCAAGTCTGACAAACATTAAATTTGAGCCTCTTGTGATGAGGGCACTTTCTGACTAGAACTTTTATCCATCTCTATGTAACAGAAAAAAATAGTGAACAAAACCTAAATGATACAGCATGTTCTGTTTTCCTTGCAAATCCTTTCATAAAATATTTTTTCTAAAAACGTCCCTTTAACATACTTTGTGCAACATGTGTACAGTATTTTACAATATGTGCTCTGTGTTAAACTCTTACTTGTCTCGAAGCAGAACTCCCTCAATGCAGGCCCCGAATAGCACCACACATGTAATGTCTGGAAAGCACTGTTCAGGAGAGTAAATTAAATCCACAGCGCTGCTGCAGAATTATAGGATACTAATGATTTTCACTCGCAGACTGTGAGAGCACGATAACACAATTGGCTAGCTCTCTCTCCTCATCTACAGGACATCTACATGAAAGGAATTATTATAAGAGTAGTGTAACTACTTTAAGGAATGGGGCAGCGTATAATGTGTGCCGGTTGAGAGAAAGAGATCAAGTGGTAGAAAGTGATGGTGAAAGCGAGCTGAGCAGAGAAAAAGCAGTAAATTTGTCAGTCTGGCAGTACATGTACAGTGTAGGTGAAAGTGTGTCAGTTAATAAATGCTACAGCTTTTCATGACCAAGAAAAGTCTGTCTGTTGTTTCCCAACTGCTGGAAAAGTAAAGAGGGCTACGGTCTATAATGTGAGCAGGTAAGCCTAACAGTAGGGAAGACTGGGGACGGCTGGGACAGACTATTTGGACTAGACCACCCAAATTGTTATATTAAATGTACATACAGGTGCATCTAAAAAAAGTTATTATACAATTATACAATAATTGTGACAAGTCAAAAAGTTAAACTTTCATATATTCTAGATTAATTACACATAAAGTGAAATATTTCGTAGCTTTTTTTGTTTTAAACTTGATGATTATGTGTTAAAGCTCAAGGAAATCAAAAATCCATATCTCAAAATATTAGAATAAAGAATGTATAATACATCTAGACCTTCTGAAAAGTTGAAAACTTCTGGAAAAGGTTCATTTATGCATACAATACTTGGTCGGGGCTCCTTTTGCACAAATTACTGCATCACCTTGGCATGGAAACAATCAGCCTGTGGCCCTACTGAGGTTTTATGGAAGCCCAGGTTGCTTTGATAGCGGCCTTCAGCTCATCTGTATTTTTGGGTCTTGGGTCATTTTCCTCTTAACGAAAGCACATAGATTCTCTATGGGGTTCAGGTCAGGTGAGGTGGCTGGCCAGTGGCCAATCAAGCACAGTAACACCACGGTCAGCAAATCAGTTACAAGTGGTTTTGGGACTGTGGGCAGGTGCCAAGTCCTGCTGGAAAAGGAAATCACCACCACCATACAGCTTGTCAGCAGATGGAAACATGAAGTGCTCTAAAATCTCCTGGTAGACGCTGCATTGACTCTGGACTTGATAAAACACAGTAGACCAACAGCAGCAGATGACATGGCACCCTACATTACTGCACACCAGACTTCAAGCAACTTGGATTCTGTGCCTCTCCACTCATCCTCCAGACTGAGGGCCTTGATTTACCAAATTAAATGCAAAATTACTTTCATCTAAAAAGAGGACTTTGGACCTCTGAGCAACAGTCCAGTTCATTTTCTCCTAAGACGCTTCTGACGTTGTCTCTGTTTCAGGAGTGGCTTGACCCTGGGAATGTGGCACTTGTAGCTCATTTTCTGGACCAGCTGCGATGCAGCTCTCTACGTACAGTCAGCCCTTTCAGCAATGACCTTCTGTGGCTTACCCTCCTTGTGGGAGGTGTCAATGAGAGTCTACTAGACAGCTGTCAAGTCAGAAGCCTTCCCCATGATTGTAGTTGCGTGTGCTGAACCACACTGAGATATTAAAGGCTCTACTCAGGTTGACATTTATTATATTATTCTAATATTTTGAGAAATGGGTTTTTGATTTCCATGAGCTTTAATCATTAAATTTTATTCATTTAGCGCCAATTCACAACAACAGTAGCGCTTTTCATATAGAGCAGTTCTAGACTGCACTCTTTGTGCTCTTGAGGGTCTATCTCAGTAAGCTTGAAAGATATTTTTAAATCTACAGTTCTAGCCGTGTCACTAGATTTTCTGGTATCAATGTCACAACAAGGTTTAAGGATACAGATGACGGAGGTGGTAGCAATAGCCAGTATGGTCCCAACGGGGATGGATTTCTGAGCATCCCGCAAGTCACCTGACCGGTTTGAACCAGCCATGATACCTAGAAGAAGGGGTCACAACAGAAAATTGCAATTGCAATGTAGACAATATTGGAAGAAAAAACCAATATTACAAAAAACAAGTTTAAAACTTGCTATTTAAAATACATGACAATAAAGAAAGTACACAAATAATTCCCACAATACAATGTGTGTGATGCTGTTATCATAGTCTCACCAGTGACAGATGGGAAGTAGATGCCAACCAGCAGTGTGAAAAAGGTGGTGATATCATTGACTACATAGGGCAAGTAGATGTCCTGGGCAGGGTCACTTCCCCCAACAGATGGCAACTTCGTGTTTTCTACCAACCTACCCAGAGGGCCATACTCTGACCACATATTTTCTATAAGAGAGACACAAAGAGAGTAATTAGTCTCCGAATAACAAAGGTCATGCACTATACAACGCATTATGTCAAGCTGAATGTAATTCACCCAAAAGACAATATGTGTCTTCTTTACAGAGACCGAAAGATAAAAATAAAATAAATAAATAAATAAATATTAAAGCTGCAAGCAGCGTTTGGTGGGCCCTCGCACGTGTAGCACGTCGGGGTGTGAGGCTGCCGCGTTGTATATTCTGGAGCTCTGCCGCTGCGGCTGTGAATTTGCTCCTCGCTTCAGACACTGCATGAAGGTGTTACACATCACTTCCTGTGTCTCCTTTGTGGCGCTCTAGAGAACTATATCACTATCGGCGATACAACTATAAAATAAAGTTTTGTGCATATGTGAGCATGTACATTGAAGTTACAACAACTTCCTGTGTCATGGTGAAGAGTTTAACTTCGCCGCCACGCAACCGCCACGCCATGCCACGCCACGCCACCTTGTTAACTGCAAACTCAAAAGTTTTGCAACATGGCAATGTGTTTTCTGGGACAGTTTTGAAGTTGATATGTTTGACCTGCTAGGTGTAGTACATTACATTGTAAAACGTGTCATTTCCTGTTGCAAGCAGATGGCGCTATGATTTTGAGTGAATATTGGCACGTAGATGTGTTCAGGGTGGGACTCTTATTCCAAATTTGAAGCAGATGTGAGCACGTAGACTGAAGTTACAACAACTTCATGTTTTATGGCGAATCATCAATTTTGGACGCCACGCCACGGGCACGCCGTTCCACGAAAACTCACCGTTTGCACAACTTTTAATCATCAGTGGGTTTAGACTGCACAGCACAAATCTGAAGTCGGTTGAACAAAATCTCTAGGAGGAGTTTGTAAGTACGGAGTGTGTAAATCATCCAAAAATTACCATTAAATCCAAAATGGCAGACTTCCTGCTGGGTGTCGATGTGTATCAATAAATTTTATTTGCTATTTTTAACTATGTGAATGCAGTGAAACAGGGTGGGAAAAAAACTGTTGCTATTCTTTGGCTGACTTAACCAGAGGAATAGAGAGAAATCCTAAATGTCACTAGTACTGTAGCAAAACTTACACATAATGAAATATTTCTATAAAACAAACAACTGTTTGACATCAGATTCATGCTGAATCTGATATCAGTGTCCCTAAAATTATAAATGATCCAGCTAATGAGTGGTTGGTGCTGAGTGAGCACCGGTAGTTAAAGCAGTTAAGATGGTACGGAGAGGCAAACTGGTTACAGCGTAAGTTTCCACTAGTAAGAGCAGACATCCAGACTTCTACATAGACAAAAAGTAAAACCAATTTGAATCAATGGAAAAATATTTCAGAGAAAGAGAATGATTTGGTCAAGGAGAAGTTATTTGAGAGAAATTAGAGTGGAACAAAGGGGGGGGGGAATTAGAGATAGGATGAAGCCAAGTAAAATAACCACATATGAAATCACTCTGCACCTGCACATGCTTACCCCAGAGGCTTCACTGAAGGTTTGCAGTAAAACTACTTTGTCATGGTCAGAGGTTACATAACATTAGGAATGTTCTGAGTTTGCACTGTAACCAATAAACCACTGCTGTCCTTGACTGTGTGTATTTGTTTTAAGATGTTAGTATTTAACAAACATTGCCCAAGGCTCTATAATAATTTAATTTAATTAATAAAAGTTTTTATATAGGAAAGACTTCCAGGAACCTTTTAGTAAAACTCCACAACATTAGCACACTGCAACTAAAAACTCCAAAGTAAACACTGTGTTCCAACCTGAAATGACTCCACTGGTCAGTCCCGGGATGCCCTGCACCATGGTCACATTGTTGTTGAAAAAATAGTCATTGCAGGTGGCATTGAGCTCAGGTCCGTCACAAAACAACCTCCACAGCTTGGTAGTGACCGTCACATTGTCTATAACCTCTGTCTTAAGGCAACGGTCAAAGTTATTGTTCTGCAGAGTGCGATTCCCCAACATGCAAACACTGTGGAGGAAGAGAGGATTAGAGTGAGACATTTGAAAATGAACCACTAGGAAAAAAAGTGATTTTAATAATCTACTTCACATTGACATGCCATCTTCATTAGACACTATGGCTGTCTGACGAATCTAGTCTGATGCTATTTTGCATCACATAGAACGACTGGAGGTTATTGTATAATGGACTCACGGAAAGTCCGGTGGCTCAAAGATGGTCTTGATGACTCCAGCATAGATGGCGAGGATGGAGAGAATGACGCAGGCCAGGAAGACTAGCGCAAGCTTGTTGACATATTTCACCCCTACAAAAACCACTACAGCCATCAGTGTTAGGCAGCATGTGCCATAAACACGCATGTTATTTAGCAAAGCATCCACTGCATCCTCCTTTTTCTCTGCAACAAAGATGGCTGCTTTAGGCACGATGTAGGTCTGAATGGGTAAGGGTGAAGGGAAGGACAAGACACAAACAGACAAAAAAAGAATACATAAATTTTACTCTTAATTTAAGTTTATCTCTTTCAACATCCCAAGTTGCATCCTCTGCACCTGAATAAAATTTACAGGTGGTGGAAATACAGTGAGTTGGAGTAAACAGTTGAGAATAGCGACTTTAAAGAAATAGTCCGCGCACAGTGTTCACTCACCAGCAGAATTTCTATAGTACCCAAGATATACATGGAGCCAGCGAAGGTTGTGCCCAGGTAGAAACAAAGACCTACAGCGCCACCAAACTCTGGGCCCAGAGATCTGGAAATCATGTAGTATGAGCCTCCAGCTGGGAGAAAAAGAGAAGAAAAATGGTGGGGGCACGGTGGGAAAGAGTTTTATGAGAAAAGGAACTTTGGAGAACTTGCAGTTTTTCTAATACATCAATGAACATCCACTAAACAAGGGAATTATTGTCAATGTTTTGGTCATGCCCTGGAACCTAAAATATTTCTATTTGCCCAAAATTCTTAGACTGTGATATCTGCTTTCAATTATCATAAAATCAACAGACAAGGAAGGAAAAGGTGGATTCTATTTGATATGTAAAGCTGGGAAATTTTATCATCATTAGAAACTAATAATCATACCTGTTAATAATTTCTTCTCTATTTATAATACATCTCTGGTTAACGTTTGTGTTCCTGTACCTTACCTGGCACAACCCCATTAGTAGCGATTGCACTCATGGATATGGCTGTCAGCATGGTCTGTGGAGAGAAGACAGTAAGGAACAACATCAGAATAATTTATCAGAATAAAACTCTCAAATCTAAAGACCTTACACAGATGATATTTCCTTGAAATTATTTTTATAGTTAATATTTAACTTGTATTGTATGTATTTTAACAAGGGATGATGTGGTGTAGTTAACACCCATTCAAAACTAAGTATGACAGTTAATATAAACCTCCATCTTTTTTTCATGCCTACCTAAAATTCTTTATTTCCATGAACATACCAGACTTTCCCAACAATAGGACACTTGAAGGGCTTAATCCAGCATTAGTCCTTTAAAATACTTCTTAGGAGCTTATGCTCTAAATCTTGCTGATTGGTAATGGATATAAGCTTTTCCATTAGATCAATGATTGTGGCGGAGGGTATTTGCATCAGCATGTTACCTAATAGTGTTTCAGGATGAGAGAAGGGACAGAGCAGGGAGAAGGGCAGGAGGACAAGATAAGAAATACAAAGAAAAGAAAAGACAGAAAGACATGAAAGTTAAAACTTTAAGAAAGAAAGAGGGAGAGGAGAGAGCGTGAAGGTGAGAGAATAGAGGACAAAGGCAGGAGGAGGAAGAGGAGAGCAGGGACAAGGACATGACCATGCTGGAAAACAGGGCCAGTAAACAGCAGAAAACAGCATGGAGGCCAGTGACAATGTTACGGTGGTTGCTCTGTAGTCAATAGACACCTTAAAAATAAGGTGTTTCTGGTTAACAACCTCCCGCTTCCACTGAAAACAAAATCCGCACACAATTCCTATAAATCATGTGGACACAGTTGTTGGAGTACAGGCATCTGCCTTTTTGGAAAGCTCCTAGAACAAATTTAACCAGAGCCAGAGGCCCAGACAGGACCAAACAAGTAGCAGATCGGCATTAACCAAAGATCACTGCATTCCATGAACCTCAACGTCAACCATACATCTGGGTATTGTCATTAGTGTTTTCATAGTAAGGTTAAGTTATATTTGTTCAGAAAACTGTATCACTCAAAACAATAAAATGTGCCATTAAAACTGAGATTCCATTTACTAAAATTCCTCATGGTATCTAGTCTTATTTTACATTATAAACATTAAAGTATGGTGATATAACAGAAAAAATAAGAGTTACTAATAGTAAGATAACTGTAATAATTTTAATTTTAATTAATAATTTTAACTGCAGTCTACTATAATAATACAATAATAAGTCTTGAAGACACATTTAGTAAACAATGAGAGTATGAAAATTACTGAATCATAAATAAAAAGAGAGTTAAAAAATACAGTTTGAGTGAATCCAACTGCTCTAAACTGAAGACAACAACATTCACTTGAAGTTATTTATAGATATTTCTGGTGTTGGGTCTAGAGCACACAAAATATGACCTATAAACAGGTGGCTGATGTGGAACCATCAGTGCAAAGTCAGATGTGCTCTAAGAAGCGAAAATGAACATTAATCTGTTTGACTAAGCTTGGCTCTCTTATTATGTAACAGCAATGATGCAGTGGAGGGTAAATCTAGCACTAGCTAGAGTGTGATATATGAAATGGAGTCCCTGTGTTTCTAGGCAAACCGTCATCACAGGTACAAAATCTGCTATTAATCCATAGCATTACAGATGCAGTGTATTTGGTAACATTTTGTTCAGATGATTTACAATACATATATACAATTAGGAATTGATAAAAATTCCAGGTTTGATTCTTGACTTTGCATATATAGTCTGGAACGTGACCAATTTTGGCCATGTTTTAAGTGAAAATGATCATGTTGCCATTAGAGCATTCTATTATAAGGCAAAAAGCATTAAACTGAGATAGTAGTCCAGGTTTCTGTTTGTACTTTCCCTGATTGAGCTAAAGTAATCCATTGTCTGCAGTGGGATTGGCAAATATAGCCACTGTGTGGGTGTTTCTGTTGCTATGTTTCTGATACTTTGCAGAGGGAGGAATTACGCATCAAGCTGTCAGGTTCCATTAAAGCTAGGAGTCTATGGGAAATGGGGAGTCACAGTGGCAAAATATATGAGGGATCAGGGGCCACTAAGTCAACTTGCTGGCCATTCATTACTGCTGTCAGTGCAACATTTGCACCAGTCTACAATTTAAAGTTGATGCAGCATCTGACCCAAATATTACCAAAACGCTCAATCATATGCACACATATTCACTCTTATATGCTAATGTGTCATGACACATCAAAGACATTAGTGTACATTAGGTTCACTCTTACATAATCTTGCACATCATTGCCCTAATGGCTTAAACACTATAGTCTTGATAAAGGACAAATAACATCTATGTCAACAGTCAGACAAGCTCCTTTCAGTTTTTAGTTTTCTTTAATCTAACAAAACATAAACACAGAATAATAGTGTGGAGGTGCAAATGTTTAAACCTATCTTCAATTTAAAAAGAAACTATGATGGATAAAGTATAGAAAAATGTGAGTCATGTCCATCATGAAGGTTTAGTACTCACACAAGAGCAGCACAAGCCGACTATCGCCAAGGACTCCAAGATTCCGGCAGTGCCAACAATCCAAGTAAGCCGCAGAAATAAGATGACCCCCAGAATATTCTGGAGGCAGGGGAGGTAGACACCCATGAAGGTCCCCATCTGAGGGCTCTATAGAGGGGGGGTGATGAAATGGGTAAGAAAAGACAATAGAGAAGAAAAACAGATTAATGTGTACATAAGTGTGTGTGCTCGTTTGTGGTCGGTGATTTTAGGGTGTTTAGGGATACACGGGGGAAGGTAGGAGATAGGAGAGGAACATGAGATGATGTTGGTATCTATGAGCAGCAAATAATAAAGACAGGAAAGAAGAAGACCAGAGAAGGTGATAAAGAAGGAATAAAGGGGAAATAAAGACATGTTGCCCCCAGCCCTCTCCATGACCTTACATAGCGCCTTTTGGTTACAAAAGCTCCTAGTTGAACTGCTAATCTGTTTTATGTTTTCTTTCCTAACAACTGATCAATTCGCACCAGAGGTCGCGCTCACTCCATGGTCAAGAGTGTACTGTGATCCGTTTTACAATCCGCACATGAGCTGATTTCCTGTCAACTTCACCGTCGATCTCCTTATGGTGCTGTTTTATATTCATCTTAGCTACTTTTCACAGTTAGCGTTATCCATATTTTAATTGTATTTACTGTTTGCTTTTGTATACAGTGTTTGATCATTCTGACCTCAGTGTTTTTAGAAAGCCAGCTAGCTTAGCCAGTCAGCTAGCCTTACTAGCTGCAAAAATAAATAATCAAAATGTTGTGAGGATACAGACGTTTCAGCATATAATGCAGATGTATGAGTCTGTTCATTCTGCAGATCCACACACTTCACTGATAACCACAGAAGTGTAGAATTGCAATAGGCTGCATGAGCCCATGGCCGGTGCCTGTTCTCGGCTGTTCTCCTGTGTCAAAATGGCTGCTATTAATCCTGGACCGATTGGTGATGTTGAACTTTTCCATTCTCCATTTTGCCTGTTTCTCAGCATCTCAGCTGGAGTGAAAGGTCACAGAGAGGGACTGAGCAAAACTCTGTAGAGCTGACGGCACTCCCCTGAGCTTGATGATGCTTTTCTTCATTTAGTAGTCATCTAGGCTAGCTGACTAGCTAAGCCAGCTTCATTTTGGAATGATCAAAACACTAAATACAAAAACAATAATATTAACAGAATGTACAACACCATCTGTGAAAGTGGCTAAAATAAGGATGTTGGCACTGTAAGGAGTTTGGAAGTCAGATGTCATCAAAACACAGAAAACATTTTTATACATTTCACCGCTATTTATTTAATCTTACAAAAAGGACAAGGAATAAATTAAAACCTTTGTAAACACAATTCAAAACTTCAATATTAAATACTCAATACTTAATACTTTTAAAGGCCTTATTTTCAGAATATTAAATTCAGTGCTTTTTAAATACTTTTAAGACCCCGCGGCTAACCTGGCAATGGAAATGCTGCCACTGTTAACAATATGAAGTGCAGTTTAAATGTTCTTTAAAACATAAATGTTTGATAAAAATGAGCAACGACATAATACAGAGTGAAGAAACAAAAAATAATCTATTTAGTAACCTTTTAATATTTCTGTGTCTTCAACGGTTTGACCTTTTCATTTATTTCAAATAAAAAATGTTTAAGTTTCACGGTAAGCAGAAAGGGTGAGCAAAGACACAAGATGCTATGGAGAAGAAAATAAGGTGTTCAAGTTTGCATACCACCCAGCAAGATTTCAGAATAAAACAAACGACAGGGCTTTATCGGTCAAAGACCCTGTTATGTAATGACAGTTCAGCTGGTTTAAAAGAACTGTTAATATGCAACTGCACAGTACCTAACTGTACTGTATGTAGACAATGTCACTGTAAAGCTCTAACAGACATTGTATAAAACAAGGCTCTCCCTGTACCTTAACAGCTTTCTTCTTGGGTCCCTCATCATCATCAGCCTCCTCATGCTCTTGGGCCCCCTGGGTGAGATTGGTGTAGTTTGCCAGTTTATTGAGGAGAGATGACACCATAGGGTTGCTGTCCATCTCCTCCTGCAAAAAAAAAAAAATTATCATATGGTTTAAAATGAATGTTCCCAACTCAGAATGTCATTATTCACAAGTTACAGTAACATAATATATATGTTAACAACATATAAAATAATATTTTTTTAAATACTTTACAACTTTAACTTTGCCTTTAGTGGTCGTTTACCATATGCTTAGATGGATGAACTCTTCCAGGATCAAAGTGAACAGAGCAATATTTAGTTAACTGTTCAAAGCATCTTAGAATAGCCTGGCTGGGTCAGCTTCATACAGAGTGGGGAAAACAGATGCCACAGGGCCTAATTGATCCTATACAAGGGCCAGTGACCACAGAGTGGCAAGGTCGGCCAAATGGCAGAGCAAAGCAGTTTCAGCTGAATAAACTTAAAGGAATGCCCTAGCTTTTATGACAAGTAAACTCTTTGATTGACACATTGTTAAGCTAAGAGAAGAGTAGTACTTTCACCCCCTTGTGTACTATTTTTTTAGTTCACTACCACCTACCCTGAGGATTCAGCATAATGTGCATTAATGAATGGTTTAAGCTCCATAGCCTAGTTATAATTTAAACTGCAGAAATAGATGTGGCAGTGAATGTTGACTCAAAAAGGATATTGATGTTTTTGCAGCTTCTAACCCACAGTTTGGGTTTTTTCCTTCATGGCCTCTAGAATTTTACCAAAACAAATCCCAGTGCTACATTTCCTTGTGTAGTAAGCTTGTGTATAAGCGCCATTTCAAGTTGTTGATGACAGTTACCTCAAAAAGAGCCATGTTGGTGCCATCGTAGCTGTTGCCTTTGTCATTGTCTGTGTTGTTGATAAAGGGACTATTTTCCTTTGGGACGCCATCACCTGTGGAAATACAACAAAAGTAGTGTGTTTAAAATGTCAGGTAAGAAAATCAAAATATGTGTGGTGGCTAGCAAATAAAATACTCCACTGGTTCCACGGCTAACCATATTAGCAAAGGATAAGGCAATTCACAATATTAGATCTGCAGGTTCTTTCCGTGTTTTACACTTCCACAGCATCCACTGAAAACAGCGGACACTGTGGAATGGCCCAAAGCCACTTTGGAGTCTCTGCCTTACAGCTGATCTACGTCTCACACAGCAGCCAAGCCATCTTCATAGACAACGCTGTAGGACCAAACTGTGAACCCCATCAGATGTTTGCTGGGGCCGGCAATCTACACAGCAAGGGCACTGAGCACATATTTTGAGTGAAAATACAGCTTAGAGTTTAGGGGCTAAGATACCTGACATGCTGCAGTCAAGTGCGAACAGTGAGTGATCTGATCTTATTTCCAGACTTATTTCCAAATGTGTATCTGTGCTTCTTGGTTTAATTCATTACATCATACTTGATTGAAAGCACAGATGCATTCACACATGCGAATACAGTAACTATGTTGCAAGTGTTTGTTTACACTATTTCATTTGGTTTGTTTAGGGAAGAAAAAAAATCCAAATCACGCAGAAGGAAGATCAACTCATTTATGTCCCATTATCAGATTAATCAGATTAGATTTTCCTTATTCCCCCTATTGGGGTTCAAAATAAGTCAAAAATACTATAACCTTCAGGCTGCTGTCTCGAATCTATGATTCTGAGTAAGAATGAGAGAGAAAAGGTGCCAGCAGTTGAAGTAGATCCCAGTTCTGCCATGCAACAACATGGCATAATAACATCATAAACCTCTGCTGGTGTAAACCTTAGCAAAACAATCACACAGACAAAAAAATGGTGCTTTGGGTTTTATAGACAATAAAACACTATAAATAAAAGCCAGTAACACAAACAATTCAACAATACGCATGAGGTTCAACAAAATTAAGGGAGGAAAAATCCAACAGGAAACAAAACAGAGGTGGTGACTATAAACCACTTAAACTGAAGAGCAAAGACGTCCATACCAGAGCAGCCACAATGAACTAACACAAGGACAATGGAGGACAGAAAATCAAGGCGACAACAACACTATTAACCACATGCAATAAATGCAGTGATTCCTGAAGGCATTTCTTGCAGCCATCTTCAATCACCATTAAATTGGCAACATCATCCACTACTTTCAATGACTCAAAACCATTAAAACATTTAGGTGACAAGTTGATTTGCAAGCCTTAACTGAATACCAGCAGCAATACAGTAGTTCACTACTCAATTCTGGCTGGCTGATCACTTCTGTATCTGAAATCTGAACACTTCAGAATTTAGAGGCAAAAAAGTCTAACAAGGCTACAGATTGCATGTGAAGAAGCCAGAGTTTATCTACCCAAGCCATGCCTGCTCTTTGATTTTAGTTTAGTTAGATTTTAGTTTAACCACTTTTCCATGACGAGCATGAGCTTTTTTCCGTACTACTGACAAAAATATTGCTCTAACCACTAAGGCTACAAATGATTTAACCTATAATTGCTTAATATGTAGGCTACCTTAAAGAATAATTGATTTATCCATCTATTAAATGTCAAAATAAAATTGCTATAAAATTGTTTTCTCTGATCAACAGTTCAAAATCAACAGATGTTCAATGGACAAAGAAAACCAGCCAATCCTCAGATTTCAGCATCTGAAACCAGAGAATGTTCACCTGAAATATTAATCAATTATCAAAATATTTGCAGATACATTTTCTGCTGATTTACTAATCAATTAAATGACAAATTGTTTCAGTTTTACTATGCACTGTGAGGAGATAAAATGTCATGGACATCCTCAAATTCTGCTTTTAAAGGATGAACATCTAGAACAATTAACACCTAACTGTGGGATTTTACTGTTTGACCAGGTCTATCCATGGATGTCATGCACATATTTAAAAGTGCTGTGTTGAATATCCAATACATTAATGGTGCCATAGATTTGTCGCTTTTTCTTATTTAATCAAACCATTTGTCTACATGATCCATTGTTTCATCATTACTTGATCTCTCCTCTAGAGAAAATAGCTGGTGTAGTTGTTATCATGTTGACAGAATCATTTCAAGACAGTACAAGAAATATTCATAACCATATACCAAATCCATTGTTGACCATGGCTCTCTTCTTCATTCATCAGTGGAGCTGCCAACTGTGAGCTCCACTGTGGGGATTTCATGGGTAACTTTTACTGCTTGATCCAGCTGCAGGGAGAATAAGAGGCTTGCAGTGTGGCTTAGCACGGTGTTAATCACAGGGAAAGTCACTATGTCCTTGTTCTGTGTAGCTCTTTAAAACACAGTCTGAGTGGGATAGCTGAACATATTGAGTGAGGACAGAGTGTTTCAATAAGCTGGGATAATGGAGAATGAATTTAAGACAATGGCTATTGTACTGCAAGGATGCAGCCAAGGGTGAATCTACCTTCACCGCTTAGCTTGGTAGGATGCCACACACCACAGGTAATCATTGTCTTAAATTATACTAGCTTAATCCTCTTTGAGGCCCGACGGCATGCTAAAACTGGCATTACTGTTTCCAAAACAAGTGAGGTTTCTGCTTTTAGAGTGTGTCCACCAAGGTGGTTTAGATTCGAATCAGGAGGTGATCAGAATCACTGAAATCACTTCAGGTGTAATGGTTGCATAACACATTTGAGGAAATATTTTGTGAGACAGTGATCAAATTATTAGGGCTGCAATGACTAGTCGACATAATCAACAACATGAATTATAAAAATTTGTCGACAGGGAATTTCAGTGTACACATGTCGTTCCAGAGATGTTCTTGCTAAGATGGCAGTCTTAGCAAGGTCAGGTGGTTCATTTTTAACTGTAATGCACACAGGAGGTGCTGGGGGCAGTATAGCTTCCATTGTCTGCCACGACTGCATGACTGTAAGGCTACTCATGAAGAAGAAGTATGACTGACGGCGCAGCTGAGAATGAGACCAAAACTTTCAGCAGTATTGGAGCATTTCAGCGAAAACTAATCAGCAAAACAAATTCAGTGCAAACACAGTAAAGCAGGGTTGACATTTCAAGGCAGCACTACGGTAATGCATGAACATCTTAAACGCAAGCACCCTGGAGCTGTTATATCTACTCTGATGGTCGGAAAACAAGGTCTCATGGATGGTGCATGCTAAGAGAACACTATTTCAGCTGTGTTAGCTCACACGTTACATGTAATAGTAAATCAGTGAATTATAGGAGTAGCCTACCCTGCCTCATCTTCTTCCCAATTTTTCCCCTCATGTTGAAACTAGCGTTCATTCTGAATAGCAAACCTCCTCCACTTAATGGTAGCTTGTTAGTCTGTGTGTTGGTAGTATATCAGTAATTCAGATGTATGATGTTTATGGTTAATTAGCATAACCAGTACCTCGTATGTGATAAACTATGATACATAACCTTCAACTTGTTAATTAATGCAGCTTTTTGTTTTGTTCTTTCATGACAAAAATAATGGCTGACTAATCCACTAATCAAAAAAATTTCAACAGATTAGTCGACTATCAAAATATTCATTAGTTGCAGCCCTCCAAATGATAAGTTTCAACATTCAAATTATAGTAAAAACTACTGCACTTTTGAACATTCGATGCCACAGTCAGAAGGTAATACATCCTCCTGAATTTAAAGGCTCCCACTGTTTGAAAAAAATAAAGACATGATCTTTCTTCTTGGACAGCACATGTTTTTTTCCCTAAAACGGCTTCTTCGTTAAATTCTTATTTTAAGGCAGAGCTGGAACAATAAGTTGATTAATTTATTTTTCCAGCTTCTAATGTGAGGATTTACTACTTTTCTCTGTTTTATACCATGGTACATTAAATATCTTTGGGTTTTAGACAATTGGTCCAATTTAAAGGTTTTATCTTGCTCCGAGAACCTGCGCTGGGCATTTTTTTGGAAGGTTATGGGCTAAAAGATTAATCGATCAATCAAAAATATAATTGATTGATTAATTGATAATGCACATATATTGTCCAATGTGTGCTGAGATATGATTCTGGTTGCTTCAAAGAAGCAAACTTCAGACAGAGTGGGATGCACCTTCTACCTGGAATTGCACAGTTACATACAACACAAAACATCAAGTATTTACTATAAGATATTGAAAAGATAGCAGTAGTTTTTGACTATTGCAAATACAACAGTAAACACACATTTCATGGGCATTCATTTCTGGTTTCTGGTTCTGGTACTTTTAATTTTTTCTCTGCTTCATTATTTGCATCTCTGTGTCTTGTATTTTTGCCTAAATAACAAATGGAAGGCAATAAAAATGTTTTCACCCCATGGCAACACTCCTACAGTCTATAAAAGCTGGGATCTCATGCTGCTTTAAACCAAAAATACCTAAAATGGCAGATGTGTGGCACAAATCTTGTCCCACCTCTATGTCATTAAATCCTCCAGTGACCTCAAGTTGCACTTGTACTTCACCATTCCAAACTAGGGAAATGTGCCAGCTGCCACAAATCCTTCCAGTAGGAACCAAATACTGCAATTACTGCAGTCATTGTCGTAGATTATGTACTAAAGAAAAGGGTATAGAGACGAAGAAATTAACGGAATGCTATGGATAACCTCATGTTTGTCAGTCTGTCTACACATCATCCTAACGAATGTGTGTTCTTTGTCTTTGGTATGCTGTAGCGACCAGTCCTGGGGGACATGGTCCAGATTCATATACAGTAGCAGTGACAAGACTCTGGCCTAGTTAACAGATGTTAGCCTCTGTGGACATTACACATGTTGCCATTTATCTTGGACTAATTTGTTCTGCTACCTGGAAATTCATGTTTACGTCCTTATTTACTCATTAAATAGAGGTTACAAATTTCTGGGCATTATCTTTTGGGGCAACACAAAGGCGCAGAAGGATTGACCTTCAACTGGACAACCTGGGTTTGCCCTTGGA